CCTTTTCCCATCCCTGAGACTCCTTTTATCCTTTTTCTATTTCTAAAATTCCTTTTTATGCTTTTCCCATTTCTAAATATTCCTTTTTATTCCTTTTCCCATATCCAATATTCCCTTTTATTTCTTTTCCCATCTCTGAATATCCCTTTTATTTCTTTTCCCATCTCTGAATATTCCCTTTTATTTCTTTTCTCATCTCTAATTTTCCTTTCATTCCTTTTCCCATCTCTAATATTCCTTTTCTCCTTTTTTCATATCTAAAATTCCTTTTTGTTTTTCCCATCTCTAAATATTCCCTTTTATTTCTTTCCCCATCTCTAATTTTCCTTTTTATTCCTTTTCCCATATCCAATATTCCCTTTTATTTCTTTTCCCATCTCTAATATTCCTTTTCTCCTTTTTTCATATCTGAAATTTCTTTTTATCCTTTTCCCATCTTTAAAGTTCCTTTTATTTCTTTTCCCATCTCTAATATTCCTATTTATTCCTTTTCCCATTTCTAAATCGTCCCTTTTATTTCTTTTCCCATTTCTAAATATTCCTTTTTATTCCTTTTCCATCTCTAATATTCCTTTTATTCCTTTTCCAATCTCTAATATTCCTTTTCTCCTTTTTTCATATCTAAAATTTCTTTTTATGCTTTTCCCATATCCAATATTCCCTTTTATTTCTTTTCCCATCTCTAAATATTCCCTTTTATTTCTTTTCCCATCTCTAATTTTCCTTTTTATTCCTTTTCCCATATCCAATATTCCCTTTTATTCCTTTTCCTATTTCTAAATATTCCCTTTTATTTCTTTTCCAATCTCTAATATTCCTTTTTTTCTTTTTTCATATCTAAAATTCCTTTTTATGCTTTTCCCATCTCTAATATTCCTTTTTATTCCTTTTACCATTTCTCAATACTCATTTTTGTTCCTTTTCCCATTTCTAAATATTCCCTTTTATTTCTTTTCCAATCTCTAATATTCCTTTTATTCCCTTTCCCATCTCTAATATTCCTTTTCTCCTTTTTTCATATCTAAAATTTCTTTTTATGTTTTTCCCATCTCTAAATATTCCCTTTTATTTCTTTTCCTATTTCTAAATATTCCCTTTTATTCCTTTTCCCATCTCTAATATTCCCTTTTATTCCTTTTCCCATCTCTAATATTCCTTTCATTCCTTTTCCCATCTCTAATATTCCTTTTCTCCTTTTTTCATATCTAAAATTCCTTTTTATTCCTTTTCCCATATCTAAATATTCCCTTTTATTTCTTTTCCCATCTCAAATTTTCCTTTTCGTCCCTCTTTTCCCATCTCTAAAATTCCTTTTACTCCTTTTTCCATCTCTGATTTTTTTCCTTTTATTCCTTTCCCATCACTAATATCCCTTTTCTCCTTTTTTCATATCTAAAATTCCTTTTTATGCTTTTCCCATCTCTAAATATTCCCTTTTATTCCTTTTCCCATCTCTGAATATTCCTTTTATTTCTTTTCCCATTTCTAAATATTCCCTTTTATTCCTTTTCCCATCCGTAATATTCCTTTTCTCCTTTTTCCATCTCTGATTTTTTCCTTTTATTCCTTTCCCATCACTAATATTCCTTTTATCCTTTTCCCATATCTCAAAATTCCCTTTTATTTCTTTTCCCATCTCTAAAATTCCTTTTTTTTCCCCATCTCTGAATATTCCTTTTGTTTCTTTTCCCATTTCTAAATATTCCTTTTATCCTTTTCCCATCTCTGAGTATTCCTTTTTATTCCTTTTTCCATCTCTAATATTCCTTTTATCCTTTTTTCATATCTAAAATTCCTTTTTATGCTTTTCCCATCTCTAAATATTCCTTTTTATTTCTTTTCCCATTTTCTAAATATTCCCTTTTATTTCTTTTCCCATATCCAATATTCCCTTTTATCCATTTCCCATTTCTAAATTTTCCCTTTTTATTCTTTTCCCATCTCTAAATTTTCCCTTTTATTCCTTTTCCCATCTCTGAATATTTTCTTTTTTTATTGATCTTTTTCTCCAGAGCGGAGCAGAACCACCAAGGTAAGAGCTGCTGGTTTTTGGGGTTTTTGGGATTTTGGGGTTTTTGGGGTTTTTGGGATTTTTGGGATTTTTGGGATTGTGGTTGTGGGTTTAGGTGTGGGATTTTTGGGGTTGTGGGTTTTCAGTTTGTGATTTTTTGGGTTGGGTTTGTGGTTTTTGGGTGTGGGGTTTTGGGTGTGGGGTTTTGGGGTTGGGTTTTTGGAGCTGGGTTTTTTGGGGTTGGGTTTTTGGGATTGTGGTTTTTGGGATTGGGGTTTTTGGGGTTGTGGTTTTTTGGGTTGGGTTTGTGGTTTGTGGATTTGGAGGTTTTGGGATTGGAGTTTTTGGGTTTGGGGTTTTTGGGATTGTGGTTTTTGGGGTTGTAGTTTTTGGGTGTGGGGTTTTTGGGGTTAGGGTTTTTTGGGTTGTGGTTTGTGGTTGGGGTTGTGGTTTTT